TTTACCAGCTCAAATGTTTTAATCTCATGCAAGGATTTTCATTTCAATCTTGCAATGGCTTGCATCCAGTTCCCTTTTTGTGTTCACCTCTCCATTGCTTCTTTAAAGGCACTTCAAGGTTCTCCACCCAGGTCAGTCATCAATTAACATATTCATTTGCTGAAGTATCTTAGTCAGATGGTATGGTCTGACTCCTAGACCTTCTTAAATGTTTGCGAAACTTCGGTGCTAGATGGTGAACATGAACACCATCAACAGAATCTTCTTCTGGTTACATTCTTTGATTAACGAAACTTCTGGATTTTCTAACTTCTGAGCTCTTTTGTTCTTCGTGGAACCATTATCTTCATGCTCAACTTGTCTTTGTTCTGGTTGTTTGGAGGAACATTTGGCCATATGTTGAAGCATCTTCAGATCTATTGGAGCTCCTTCTGGTCTTTTCAACATCTTACAATAGATCTGATTTCAAACAAATACGACAACTCTATGTCTTATCATCTTTTTTCTGGACTGGATCAATAAAATTTCTATAGCCCAATTGAGTCTTGGCCAAGCCATGAAATACAACACTTGTCGAGATCTTGCATCAGCTTAGACTCTCATCCTTAGGAATATGCACCAAAATAGCTTTAGCAACCAACACCCGCAAATGATCTAGGAAACATCGCTTCCTATACCATACTCTTTTCTGGAGTATACATACTGAGAGGAACACAAGGCTGAACGATTTATAAGTATGAACTGCTGTACAGAAGAGTTTTCACCCCAAAATCTTTTAGACAAACGTCTGATGTGAGAGTAAACATCTGACTCTCTCCATCAAGTATCTGTTCATCCTCTCAGCCAAACCATTCCAATTGCGGGGTCTTGGGAGGTGTTGTTTTTGATGGTCGAATACCATTGCTCTTCTGCAAAGCATCAAATGCCAGATGTATTCATCCACCATCTATCTCTGTTCTGGACTGCATTCAGCCTTACTGCCTGTTCTGTCGCTTTTCAACCAAGTTTAAGAATTGTTTTAAAACATCTCAAAAACCTTGATCTTTAGCTTCAAAGTGTAACACCCCAGGTCTTCCTAGGAAATGGATCATCGATAAATGTTACGAAGTATTCGGATTTCCAACCTATGACATTCCGTCAGATGTCCACAATAGACTGAAATGAACAGAATCTCAACAATTATCATTCTGGACACGGCTGAGGAAAATCTTAAAACAGCTATCGTCTATTCTGCTTTCCTGCCATACAATCAAGACATTTCTCTATTATGGGATCTATCCAAACCAGGGGATAGATGTTGTTTTTAAACCAGAAGTTGTCTTCCTTCTCACTCATGTGGACCTACGTTTTATGCCACAATTCCAAACTGTACTGTCATCCTCTGTATACATTGAAAAGCATCTCGGGAGGAGCTTATCGCATGCAATCACGTTTACACTTTGGACTCTTTCTTTTCCATTATGCTTCACCATGGAAATTTTGTGAGCTTTCCCCTGCCATTTCTAGAAGTTGCTACCAGAAATTTTCATTCATCCAAGTCTGCCAACCGAGATAAATTAGAATCATTCTGGTACATGCACGACATCTTTTTTAAAATTAACTCGAACCATTACAAATCTTCTCCAGGCATGATGTCTTCCCTTTTACCGACGACTATTCAACAGTTTCGCCGTCTGCTATCTTGACACAACCCAGATCTGTCTAGTGTGTAAGATGAAAAAATTTTCTTCTCGCAGATTGTGCATGAAGTGTTAGCCCCACCTATCAAATTACCAACTGGTGTCTCCTGCGGTTGCAAGGATTGATAGCATGTCTATCAATGAACAATGGAACTCAGCATGACATTTGCATTTCATTCATCACTGCTTTTTCTTTCTTTGCGTTTGCCTTCTGATCTTCTCAGCTGATCACTTTTGAATTCCGGCAATATTCTTTTAACTGATGCCCCTTCTTCCCACAACTGATAGCACATAATATTGGCAAAATTTTATTGGCAAATTTGTTTGATCTACCTCTGCTCTTATCTCTTGTATTTGAACTTCTAGATTGGCTCCTCCCTCTGGGCTGGTTATTTCTTTTAGCATCTGTCAAAAGAATGTCTGACTGAGATGAAGAAGAATTTTGTGCTTTGCGTCTCATTTCTTCATTCAGAACAGCATTTTTAACAAATTCCCAGCTAACTCCACTCTGTGATGTAGAGTTTGTTATTGATATCTTCAGAGTCTCCCAAGACTCTGGTAAGGAGGCAAGCACCATAAGGCCGAGGATTTTATCATCAAATTTTATGCTCATATTTGACAGCTGGTGAATGGTGAATAGCGTCCGCCTGCATTTCACTCAAGTGATCTGCCTACAGAAGTACCTTCTTAAGTATTTAAAATTCATTCAGCTTCGTCAAGTAAAACATTGGTTAGTCTGCCGGAATTTTGAAGGCATATAACTCTTCAAGTTGTCCACCATAATGTTCCTAGCATGAAGTCTCGTTATGCAAATGTGTGTACACATTATGTTCATCGACAAATTGCGAATATAACCACAAACACTTGCTCGTAGGCTCGAAAAGACCCATTCATTCATCAGTCTTGTTCTTCCTTTTTTGCTTGAACCAAACACGGGCAGATGCAGTTTTGGTTAGCCATAAGGAGATTCTCTCTTTTATTTCGTCTATATGGGATAATATTGCGCCATTTTAAGATTGATCCATTTTGCTCGTTCCTAAGTCCATATTTTGAGTGATGTTCCGTATATGCAAACAGTTACCAAGTATAACGGAAATAGTAAACTAGTACACCGTGAATAGTAACTATACGTGCAATAGTACCTGTATTGCCGTGAATAGTATCCTGTCATGCAGTGAAATAGTACTATACGTAACAATAGTTGCTTGGCTTACAGTGCTCAGCAGCACAGTAACGCCAATTGTAACTTAATCACCATTCCAACCACCGATCACTATTTTACTATTTCACCACTAGGATTGATTTATGCCAACGTCTTTTCGAGCGGACTGCACCAAGGAACTCGTCCGATAATTTTCTCGTCTTCATGGTATATTTATTTTTCAAACATATATCCACAGATTCCGAGACGGCAGAGCCCCTCGGTACCGTTATCTGGCACCGGCGAACACAGGACTCTGATACCAAACTTGTTGGATACAGGCAATTAAATTACGAGATCATAACACAGCGGAAAATTAAAATGGACACACAACGATTTCAACGTGGATTCACCCTCAACTTGATTTAGGGGCTACGTCTCTCGGGACCAACTTCGAATAATTCTTCTACTATTAAAAAATAAATTAGGCTTACACGGAGAAGGTAAAAAATGTGGCACTCACAGGATTTCTCCAAAAAAAACAACGCACCCATAATAATCGTTCATCTATTTCCTAAACCCGTGTTTTAAGAACCCTTTCTTTAACAACTTATCAACTCTCAAATCTTTATTCTTCACAGATAATGATTGTGAGCTCACCTGAAACGAGGCAACTCCTTCCTATTCTAATAGGAAGGTTAAGCGAATATGCAGCGTAATCATCGCCTAAAAGAATAGAGTTGCTTTCACACCTATAGATTAGCGCAATCAGCCGACTAAGAATGAGCTGCTTCTTCACCAACCTTATTGAAATAGCGCATCACCGCCTAAGGAATGAGCTCTGCTTTTCACCACTTTGGATTTTCCTTTATTTCTTCTTCCGGCAGGTATGGTTGACGGCACAGAAAACGTGTGTTTTATTATTATTATTATTTTTTTTTTTGCTTTATTCAAATGTGAGTACGGTCCCACTGAGTGGGGCACACCACCACCAGACACTTGTCATTCTGATTTAAGGAGAATGTTACTTATTGGTCAATTTGCATTTCGGCAAGAAAAACGTGTGTTTTATTATTATTATTATTTTTTTTTCTTTTCAAATGTGAGTGGGTCCCACTTGAGTGGGCACACCACCACCAACACTTGATACATCTGATTAAGGGAGAATGTATTATTGTCATTGCATTTCACCCCTCGGGTAAAGTCATTTATCTTTATCAAGGTAGATTAAACTAATATTTACTACATTCTACGTTTATTTTTTGTCATATAACTTTAATGATGAAAAAAAAAAAATTTCGAACCTCTAAATTATAGCGAAGTCAATGTTTAAGTCCTTTTATTTTACTCTTTCCGTCCCAAAAAGATAGTTTATTTTTCATTTTTGATTTGTCCAAAATATAATTCACTTTTCTTTTTTTCATTATAGTTAATCTTTGAATTGTCTACTATATCCTGATTAAATTTTACCTTATTTTTAATAACCTTTATTAATTTTTAGTTATTATTTCAATAATCATGTGTTATTTAAGATGCGCATAATAGGAAAATTATATGAATAAAATTATCTTTTAACCATATGTCTTAAAATGTGTAAAAATAAAAAGTGGACTATCTTTTTGTAATGAGGGGAGTATGACTTTTTAAGATGAAGAAATCTATATGTTAATTTCATTAAAATTTAGGAGTTTTACAGTTAATTTTAAAAATAGGAAAATCCATATACTCCCACTGTCCCATTTTGTTTGCATAGTTTAATAAAAGATATATATTAAGAATTTAGTCAACAAAAGTTATGTTGTCATTCTTTATCCTTAATTAATAACTCGTTAAGATACTAAGAGTCTTTTATTCAATGAACATTTATATAGATTATTATAAGAAAAATAATTATTTACATATCTAAATTTAGAAACTTTATAAACATTTTAAGACATTTAAAAAATAATAATAAATAAATAAAATGAGCAAAGGGAGTGTTAATTTAGCTATAATTTAAGCCGTTGGAATCATTGTTACCTCTGAAATTATGTTGAATACCTTTACGTCTTGTTAAAAGAGACGTATGCAACTTCTCCTTGGTTGTACCATTAATCAATTTCCGCATTGTAATCAATTATCTTTTTACTTCCTGAGACAGAAAATTAGTCTTAAAATTCTATAAATGCACCCCTTATGTTTGAAATAAAAAGTCCAACGATTAAGTAGCAAAAATGAATTATTCTTTTCCATCGTTATCTAGTGTTGCGGCCAGCGTACTTGCCATTTTAACTCCATTATTAATCTACACTTCCTTTGTGATATCAAAAATGGCAAGGAATAATAAGCGACTACCACCTAAAGCTGATGGCGGATGGCCTTTTATCGGCCACCTTCATCTCCTTGCAGGGTCACAGCCAGCTCACATAACCCTGGGAAACATGGCTGAAAAGTACGGGCCAATATTCACTATCAAGCTGGGTGTCCATCCGACGTTGATTGTAAGCAGTCGAGAGATGGCTAAAGAGTGCCTGACTACGAACGACAAAGCGTTTGCCAGTCGTCCTAAAGGTCTAGCCATGGAAATCCTGGGCTATAACTATTGCATGGTTGGTTTCAGTCCATATGGAGACTACTGGCGCCATATGCGCAAAATAATAACTCTTGAGCTTCTCTCAAATCATCGACTAGAGATGCTAAAGAATGTGAGAGAGGCAGAGGTAAAAATGGCCATAAAAGGGCTATACAAAGAATGGATAAAGAACAAAACTAATTCCGATAAAATCTTGGTGGAGCTGAAGACATGGTTTTGGGACATAACTTTAAACGTGATATTGAAGATAATTGTACAGAAACGTTATGTGGAGGAGTACAAAAACGGATGCAGCGAAGGTCAAGATAGCAGCACATGGAGAGATGCATTAAGGGAATTTATGGAATTGTCTGGAAAGTTTTCGGTTTCGGATGCGCTTCCATATTTAAGGTGGTTGGATTTGGGAGGAGTTGAAAAGGAGATGAAGGAGAACGTTAAAAAGATAGACCATGTTCTTGAAAATTGGTTGCAAGAACACAAGCAAAAGAAAGAAGATTCCGGCGACTTACCAAAGGAAGAAGAAGACTTCATGAGTGCGTTACTGTCGATTCTCGATGACGCAAAAGAGCTTTCCAGTAGAGATGCTGATACTATCAATAAAGCTACGTGCCTGGTAATTAAACGATTAATTTATCTTATTAATTTTATAAAATTTTATTTTAAATTACCTCAATGCTTTTTTATCTTCTCAAATTCCAACCTTCCTTTTTACTGTTAGTAAAATTCAATAAATAAGGGTAAAAAAAAAAAGTTAAAAATGCAATAAATTGTTTCTTGAATACTAAAAGATAACAGTTAAAGTGCAATAAAAAAACTTAAAAATTGATCATTTGAGTGATAGGGAGAGGATAATATTCAATACATGTTTGCCGAATTCAGCTAATGAACCTAATCTATGGACCAATAACACAAAGATTAAACTTATCAAAATAGAAATTCTTTAATAATTATTCCGAGTTTATCTTTTAACAAATTATTAAAAATATATTCGATTCAAGATATTATTTTTTATTTATTTAATTCATAAATATTTATAGTCTAGGGTAAGTCTATCCCCATAATTTGGATATGATTATGGATATACGGTGATACAACTTAAATTGAATTTTTTTTTTTTTTTGTTACTTCTCAATATATGTTTGTGTAACGTGTAAATTTATTATGATCACACAGACTCTTATTTTAGCCGCATCAGACACAACTGCTATCACCTTAACATGGACTTTATCTTTATTACTTAATAACCGCGATGTCCTGAAGAAAGCCCAAGAAGAACTAGATATCCATGTCGGTAAAGAAAGGCAAGTGAAAGAGTCAGACATGGCTAATTTGGTTTTTCTCCAAGCTATCATTAAAGAAAGTTTAAGATTATATCCTGCGGCGCCATTATCTGTGACACATGAATCTATTGAAGATTGTACTGTGGGTGGTTACTATATTCCGGCAGGCACACGCCTTGTCGTCAATGTTTCAAAAATTCACAGAGATGAAAGTGTCTGGTTAAATCCTTCAGCGTTTCAACCGGAGAGATTTCTTACTACTCACAAGAATATCGACTTCAAGGGCCAAAATTTTGAGCTGATACCATTTAGTAGTGGAAGAAGAATGTGCCCTGGAATCTCATTTGCTCTTCAAGTTCTGAATCTCACACTTGCCACCCTTCTACATTCTTTCGAAATTGAAACTCCATCGAATCAACCAGTTGATATGACTGAGAGCGCCGGAATCACTAATCTGAAAGCCACTCCTGTAGAAGCGCTTCTCATTCCACGCCTTCCTGCTTATCTCTACTAGAAATATATATACATATGCAAGAAAATAAATTAGTTTACGTCTATTTCAAAGATGCTAAGTTTATTATATGTTCGATCTCGTTATGCATGCAGTCCATCCCAATGACTCGTTTGTTATATTTATGCAAGATATATAATAATAATAATAATAATAAAAAGGCTTGCAAATATTTTGTTCTGACTTTTAATTTTGATATGCTGAGTGCTTACCCTTTATTTTTATCATTATTTACACATAAATGAAAAAAAATAAACTAATTAAACTCAATAATGTTGGTTTAACAATGTTGAATACATTATGCATTAGATTAATAATGTTTTAGCTTCATAGATGTAGCTTAATAGATGGATCAAATATCCTGAAAAGTTTTTATTATTTAATAATCGATCTGAATCGAGCAACATTAATCCAACTCAGTAGATTAAAATTATAAACCGGTTAATATACCAATAACTTTTTACAAGATGACCTAGATATCATAAGATATGTCTTGTTGATTCTTGTAACATTAATTATAGATAGTTAGGCAAAGATTACTCCTTATCGAAGAAAAGACCATTCTACTTTTTATTGGTTTTCCACACGAAAGGACTTTTTACACAAATAAACAATTTGTCGGCATGACTTATGTATTAGTGTTGTGCTTAGATTTATATATTTGAATTCAATTTGAGAATTTTAGTTTAACTAAAATTTATTGTTTAGGTTAGATAGTTAACAATTTATGAATTTGAATTTGGAAGGATAATTTTTTTAAAAAAATTATTATTTAATCCTTATAGTTTTGCAAAATTAAGCAAATGAATAAGTTCTTTATGGTTTAATTTCCTGATTATTCAGCCCGTTAAAATCACATTTTAACATTAGTTTATAAAATAATAGCTATTATTTTGTAATATTTGCTACTATTTTATAAAAGATTTTTTTTTTTTTTTTAGTTGGTGATTTACAAAATTATGGTTGTGCTTATCAATATTTTGTAATATTTTCACGTATTTTGTAAAAGGCGAATGTTTTTTTATAAAATTGTTAAATTGCAAAATAAAAGATCTACTTCTTACCTTCCTCTGCCGGTCGTCTACGGGAATCCACGAAGACTTGACAATCGTTGGTAATCGATTGCTCAGATTGTCAACTAGGAAGTTTCAGATTTGAAAACTCATCTTATCGATTGCTTGTCTTTAATCATTCCTTCTGTAATTGAAACTGTTTACTAGATGTTTCAAATTCAGATTAAAAAACTCATCAACGGTCTTGATTTTTATTGTAGACTTTATGCAACTAGTCACTATTAAACGAACACAGTCATATACCAATCAGATCTAAAATGCTTTGTACTTGACTTTCTATACTCTTGGATTTTGCTCGCATGTGGGTTTGTCGATTTTAAAGCTGGAATGTGGGATTCTACTTGCTTGTGGTTTGAGAGTTGAAGAAGATAACAAGCGGATGTGACTGAAATTGATCATCTTTTGTAGCAATATCAGAGTTCGAGAAGTGAGTCTTTTCGATTGGTTTATTAGATTTTGGAAGAAATTTCATATATTATTTGATTTTTGGATTCTTTAATAGTTAGAAGCATGATTTTGTTAATCTTGATTGGTTTTTAAATGGTAAGGGAGAAGGTAAAGATATGGTATTGTGTAGAGAGATTTAAAGGTTAGTGTCCCTTTTGTTGGTAGAGGTGGTTATGGTGGTGGCTGCAGCCATTTGCGGTGCTTTTGTGGTCTGCTTACTAAAATAAGAATAGTTTAAATGATGTCATCTCGGCGTCACTAACATTTTGAATTTGAGTTGGTCAAATTCAAAATTCAATGATGGGGCCAATGTTTGATCTGTGTGGATTATTCATTTCAAACATAGATTTTCTATTTTTGCTGCTACTACAAAAGAATAAAGCGAAATAAAAATAAATAATTCATTTAATAATTTCAGCCACTCGTGATTAAACAGATAGAGAGAAGGTATCTTAGGTGGAAAACGATATATTTATAAAAACTATCAGTGTGCTGTCAATATTTATTTAAATATTCCTTTTTATATTTATTTTGTAATGCTCTAAATTAGGAAAAAAAAAATAATCTAGACCGGATCCATTATCCCACTTATTGATAAAACTAATGAAATCGAAGATTTTCTAAAAATTGTTTCGACTTTATCTTCTTTTTTTTTCCACATACATGGCCAAAAGTATCATCATTTCAATAATAATTCTTTATTTGATCTATAAATTGATTATGAATTCGGTCTAGGTAAATTTTTTCCATAAAATAGAAGGTTTGTATTTTTTTTTTCTTTCTTTGTGTTAGATATTTTATTTATAAAAAATATATTGCAATTTACACTCAAGCAATACTATAATTGAAGCAGAATACATAAATATAATTTCAAATATAGATTACACTATAGCCAAACCCATAAGGACAAATTCTATAATTCTAATTATAAGTTAAATGAAGGACGAGACAAAATCCATGAACTTTTCCACTTTTCCTAAGAAAAATTGAATATTATTGAATTTTGCATAAAAATATAATAATTTATTACTTGAAGTACCGGTAATTTACTCTCTTTTATTTTCTTTTTCTTTTTTTTAAATGTGTCCCTTGTGATATAAAAGATATCTCAAGTTGGCACTCTATACATTTATTGTAATATAATGAGATTTTTTTTTTTTTGATGGAGTAATATAATGAGATTGAAGGATATCATAATTAACATTTTAATTTTTTTTTTATTTTCTCGTAAGTTAATATTTTTAGCATGAACTAACTTAAGTATAAAAGATATAAATTTTTAAGGAATTAAAAATGTTTCATAAAAGAACAATGCAAAAATTAAAATATTGATATTTTCATACAGAAAATGTGTGAAGAATAATTGCAATTGTTATATATTTATATATAGAATGATTCCCATTTCTTGATACCCAAGCGGAAATACGACTTCCTCATTTTCTGGAAACTGTTATTATCGTGTGATTAAGGGCATTGGACCGTACAATTTATCGAGGGCTTATTCAACCAAAGATACTTCTTAGGTTAGACGAAATTGAAATTGAATAGTTGTAGTCAAACTGAAATTAAATAGGGTTTATTTTTCCATGGTCAAGACTTCTTTTTTCCTTTTGTTTTTTATTTATTTACTGAAATACGATATAGACTTCTATTTCCAGGTCTATGTTGTATTTTTCAAAAAACATTTTATTGTACATTCAACTTTTATTTTAATATGTTCAACATTTCAACTTATATAATTGCACCTATTAAACAATTTAAAATGTAAAATTATTTTATGAAATGGTCAAATCTGTAAAATCAAATTGATTAAACAATTATTAGATGATAGAAAATATTGAAAATTATTATTTCAAATTAAATTAATGTTTTGTTGTTAGTTTGGAGAAATGTGCAAATTACTAAAATTTATAGTTTCATATACAGAATAAGTCCTCACAAAATTTGGAGTTCCATATATGAGATTTTTCACTTAAAACTATATGAGTAAATTTGACTGGGGTTTTTCTCTTATTAGTGATGATATATTTTCGAAATTACGTTTTGGCCCCTCAAAAGCTTGAAATGGTCCATCAGGGTAGGCTTGGCCACGGTTCCGGAACCGGCGGTTCCGGTTCCAGAAAAACTGGAACCGGAACGAACTACCGAAAAGGTTCCGGTTCCGGTTCCGATTTGAAACCGGTCCAGGTTTTCGGTTCCGGTTCCGGTTCTTGATCCGGTTACGGAACCGACGGGTCCGATCGGTTTTCGGCGAAGTCGCATTTAATTTTTAAATTTTAAAATTTTGAAGACCGGTTTAAAAATTTAAATAAATTGTGAATTGTTTATTTTGTAAAAAAATACACCTCAAAAATTTAAAAATACTTCAATTAAATTATTGTTTTTTAAACGACCTTGAACATAATTATTTTTAAAAAAAAAATTCTTCAACTGAATTTATTTTTTTGTTTAAAAAAAGTTTTAACACTAATAAAAAAAACAAAAGGCCTTGAACTTAAATTTAAAAAAAAAAAACACAAAACTTGACCGTTTCTTAATAATAATAACTATATTAATAAATATTTAAAATAAAGTGAGGCCTCCGTACGTCGGCCAGGCGCCATATACATTACCATCAAAAACACACAATATTATAGTGTATATTATATGGTAGGCATGGGATGTGGTGGACAGCTGTATTCTAGCAAAGTTACCATACTCTTTTAGCCAGGCCTGCCATGATTTTAGGCCTCACCAAGAGTTGCAAGCTCGCCGTTGCAGAGGCTCACGGGTTCATAAACATGGCCTTCGCAGTTGTGTGAGAGCCGGCAAGAACTGCCGGTTTCGGAACCGGATCGAACCGGCCGGTTCTAACCGGCCGGAGAACCGGCGGTATCCAGGGTCCGGTTCGACCGGTTTCTTCTGGAAGGTTCCGACCGGTTCTCTGGAACCGCCGGTTCTGGTTCCTAATTTTCTGGAACCGGAACCGAACCGGAATTTTCCGGTTCCGATTCCGGTTCGGGCCGGTTTCGGTTCTCACCGGTTCCGGTTACGGTTTCGAACCGGTTCGAACTGACGGTTCCGGTTCCCGGAACCGTAATATGGCCATGTCTACATCAGGGTTGATGCCCATGCCGCCAGGTGGAAATATGAGTTCACCGTTGGCTGCAGGGCAGTTATTATCATGCTAATAACGGTATCGTATGATATGGCTAATTACAATATCATATTGGATTATGCGTCTAGTTATATATATGATTATGGAAAAATAATTAAACGTTTGACCAAACTAACTAAGTTATCTAGCAATTGGGTGATATTAATTAATAGTTCCTGAGGTTTACCTCCATCAAAGTATTTGGTTCTTCCGTCTATTTTCTCTAGATTTTTCCGTTAAAACCTTTTAAAAAGACTAAAATACCCTGAAACTTAAGAAGAGTAAATAATTAATTCGTCCCTGAGGTTTGATCAAACTAAGTAAGTCATTTCTGCAGTTTAACAATATTAATTAATGATCCTGACATTTACCTCCGTTAAACCATTTGGTCATTCTGTTTATTTTCTCGTGATTTTTCTATCAAAACCTTAAAAAAGAGACTAAAATATCATTACACTTCAGAAAAAAAAACTAAATTAATCTAGGTTATTTGCTTTATAACATTATGACAGTTAAATCTTATCGAATTTACAATTGAAATTCAGCAAAAAAAAAAAAAAAGGTGATTTTTTTTTAATTAATCTAGGTGTATTTCTGCTCGTTATAAACATTATGACATTAAATTCTTATCGAATTTACCAATTTGAAATTTCAGCAAAAAAAAAAAAAAAAAAGGTGATTTTTTTTTTATTTTCTAAAATATTCTTTACTATTTTTACCGGTCTTACCTTCACTTTCATTGGTTGTAGTTCTATTGATGGAAATATTATTAAAATAACTTGTTCTCTTGGAATATTTGATGTTTTAAAATTTAAATCCTATTATTTTTTATTGAAAAATAAATTCGATTTATTTTTCATCTTTTTTGTTAGTGGCTCACACGCATAAGTAAAAGCGGGACACGATTATGTTGACATTTTTTGCTCTTTTTTTTGAGGTGAATATCAAATAAAATCAATGTATATCCTAACTCTTTCGTTTTCCCTCCACGGTTTGGTGAATATCAAATAATCAATGTATATCCTAACTCTTCGTTTTCCCTCCACGACAAATGGAAATTCTAACCTAGATTAGTTTAGTCTTTTTCTTCTTAAATGTCAAGATATTTAAGTCTTTTTTCAAAGGTTTTAACAAAAAAATTTAAGAAAATAGACGGAATGACTAAATGGTTTGACGGAGGTAAATCTCGAAACCATTAATTAATATTGCCAAACTGTTGGGTGATTTAATTAGTTTAGTCAAACCTGAGAATGAATTAATTATTTTCTTGCTATTATTAATAATATGGACATTCTTACAACGGCAGTGGATATAATATTTTGCCCAAGAAGATTCTTGCGTTAGATGAAATTTAATAATCTTACTCAAGACCTTGAATCACAATTAAAATTATTATTAAATTGAAAATGGAAGGAGGGTTTCTTGTTCCATGGATAAGACTTGGATTTATTCAATTTTTTTAATATCGAAATGCGACTTTGACTTCTATTTATTTATTTATATATTTTGAAATTGAAGGAGTCACGGGATGCCAGCAAGAAATAAAGAAACTGTGAAAGCTCTATGACAGTCGTCAAGAAACATTGCGCAACCCAATTCCTTTCCTTTTTTTCTTGAGTTACATTAAAAGTTTGACAATGTTAATTTAATTTTCTTTTCTTTTTTTAAATCCAATCGCCTGATATTAATTTATTGTGGATTTCTAAGTTGCAGTCTCCATGCTGGCTTACTATAAAAGGAACCCTTCTGGTAGTTTTGAACCAAAAACTCATCCTCTCTTTCTGCAAAACAGCTTTTCTGTTATCTTCTATCATCTTTAACAATAATACACAGTTATATACCAAAAACAAAAACAAAAATAGCCATGGAATTCCTTTCTATGTTGTCAAGGAGTTCTGTTTTCATCGTACTTGCACTTTTGACACCTTTAATGTACTCTTTCCTTATGAAATCAAGAAAGGCACGTGGTAAGAAGAATGGACTACCACTGCCACCAGAACCTAGCGGTAAATTACCATTTATTGGCCACCTCCACCTGCTAGGTGGGTCACAACCGCCACACATAACTCTGGGAAAAATAGCCGAAAAGCTCGGACCAATATACAGAATCAAAGTAGGTGTGCATCCAACCTTGATCATAACTAGTTCGGAACTGGCCAAAGAATGCTTTACCATAAACGACAAAGCATTTGCTTATCGTCCTAAAGCTCTTTTCTTAGATGTTATGACTTACAATTATGCCATGTTTGGTGCAAGTCCTTATGGTGACTACTGGCGCGAAATTCGCAAAATAGCCAGTCTTGAGCTTCTTTCTGCTCGTCGGCTTGAGTTGCTGAAACATGTGAGAGAAAATGAAATAAAGGAAGCCATCCAAGGGCTATATCATGGATGGTTAAAGAATAAAAACAGCAGTAAGACCAAACAACTTGAGGTGGAAATGAAACAATGGTTTTGGGACGTAACTTTGAATGGGGTATTAAAGCTGGTCGTAGGGAAGCGTTACGTTGAGTATATAAAGAACGATGATGATTCTAATGAGAGTGGCGATGGCGACTGGCGATTTGCTTTGAGGGATTTTTTCCAATTATCTGGCAAATTTCCCGTGTCAGATGCACTTCCATATCTAAGGTGGCTCGATAGAACGATGATGATTCTAATGAGAGTGGCGATGGCGACTGGCGATTTGCTTTGAGGGATTTTTTCCAATTATCTGGCAAATTTCCCGTGTCCGATGCACTTCCATATCTAAGGTGGCTCGATATAGGTGGAGTTGAGAAGGAGATGCAGAATGTCGCAAAAGTCTTAGACAAAGTAGTGTCAGGATGGTTAGAAGAACACAAGAAGAAAAGAGCTTCCGGCGCTAAGACAGAGGAAGACTTCATGGATGTAATGTTGTCTCTACTTGATGACTCTAAAGAGATTTACAATCGAGATGCTGCTACTGTCAACAAAGCTACTTGCATGGTAATTAATATTCGAAACTGGCCCATTCTTTTGTCATAACAGTAGATTATAATGAACTTAGAATTTTAAATTGGCTTTCCTAAAACCTAATGGCAATTAAAATAGCTTAACAGTAGATTATATTTGTTCTAACATACTCTTTTTCTTGTTTTCTTGCAGGCTATTATTTTAGCAGCTTCAGATACTACTAAAACTTCTTTGACATGGACTTTGTCTTTATTACTAAATCATTCGGATGTCCTAAAGAAAGTGAAAGATGAATTAGACGTGAAAATTGGTAAAGAAAGGCAAGTTCAGAATTCGGACATAAACAATTTAACTTATTTTAATGCAGTGGTTAAGGAAGCATTCAGGTTATATCCTGCAGCGGCATTATCAGTGCCACGTGAAAGTAACGAAGATTGTGTTGTTGGAGGCTATCATATTCCGGCAGGCACTCGCCTTTTCGTTCATATTTCGAAAATTCAGAGAGATCCACGCGTCTGGGAAAATCCTTTAGAGTTTCAACCAGAAAGGTTCCTTACTACCCATAAGGATGTTGATGTTAAGGGTCAACATTTTGAGCTTATACCATTCGGTGCTGGAAGAAGAATTTGTCCTGGAACCACTTTAGCTCTTCAAACTTTGAACCTAACGCTTGCTTCTCTTCTGCATGCCTTTGAAATTGAAACTCCATTAGGGCAACCAGTTGATATGACTGAAAGCTCTGGTATAACTAACCTCAAAGCCACTCCTCTCGATGTTCTTCTTACTCCTCTTCTTCCTGCCCACCTTTACTAGAAAATCATGATATAATAAAATAAGAGAAACTAAATAGTAGAGGTATTTTTCCATTTTTTGTGTGTTATAAAGAGAGCTGTTTAGAAATCTCTATCTGTAAATTAATTTTTTTCGTTAATTTCTTGTTTAAGTAATTGGTTCTTTTTGTTGTTGCTATAGGGGTATATTGTAGTTTAAATATACACCAAGGATCCATTTGTTTCTCTAAAATAACTTGCAGGAAAATATTTTTCACAATTTTTCGTTGTTTGGGGTGCTCAGAAAAATAAGTCAATAGAAAATATTTTTCTGGTCAAACTAAAATTAAGCAAATTTTTTAAGGAAAACAACTTCTCATTTTCGAGAGGGTAAAATATTTTTTAGACATTAGCACACCTTATAAATTCATATTTTTTAATTTATTAATCATCATAATTACTACCACCATTCACCATTTACCACTGACCACTACCACCTGCTACCACGATCGGCCACCGACGACTTTCATAATTTATATATATTTTTTGCATTCTTTTCATATTTTAAAACAATATAATTACTACCACTAGTCGTCATTTACCACAGACCACTCTACCACTGCTACCACGATCGCGCGCCACCCGCACGACCTTTCATAATTTATACCTACTATTTTTTTTTCAGTTCTTTCATACTTTAACAATAAAAATATTTAAAAGTATAAAGTTTCTATTATTATTAATATTTTTTATGGTACTTATTGAGATTAAAGGACTTTAATAGTTGTAACTTTTTTTTTAATTTTTTTTTCAAATAAATTTATAAAGTTTCTATTATTATTAATATTTTTTATGGTCTTATGAGATAAAGACTTTAATATTTGTAACTAATTTTCAATATTACAACCAAACAATGAAAAATAAGTTATTTCAAAAATATTTTTCAAGAAAAATGTTTTCCATAAAAATATTTTTCAAGAAAAATGTTTTCCATAAAAATATTTTTCAGCAAATTATTTTTTTGCAAGTTAGTTACGGAAACAAATGGAGCCTAAGGATCTATAATTTTGTTGGTTGTCCTTCTTATTAGGAAATTTAATTATTTATTATTGTTATTATTATTAAGAAACTTAATTTGATGTTGTTATTGAAATATATTTATGGTTTGTGAAAATTATTATATAATTATATTTTTTAGTATATTTAATTTTTTTGGTAATTCCTCTTGAATAGTTATACTTAATTTAAAATTCTTTTTAATATTTACTATTTATCTAACTTGTAGATTTATATTGAATTCATAATCAGCCTAACTCGTTCATAATCCACGGGTTTGTATTTAATGGATTAGGTTGGATTAAAAAAAGTTATCGACTTTTACATGACTTAAGTTAAATCAATAAATCTGAACCATTTCAATTCACGAGCAGCCCTACACCAATTTAAGAGCACGTGATTGGCACCAGGATGCATGAAAGTAGAAGGCTACTAAAAGCCAATAAGACAATAGTTCTGTTTGCCACTAGAAGTAATATATTGATTAAGTCAAAAAATTATTTCTATTGTTTATAGTGTTAGGCGGTTTAGTATTTATATATTATATATATATATATACTATGATATATATATATATATCTTGTAAAGGAACTATCCACGTTTCGTCACTTCCACTGTCATAGCGTTGTCATACATGCTTGGACAATACTCGGCTGGGATGTTGCATGCATTCGATGGTGGCTTGCGTCCCTTGAGTATTATTTATGATATATATCTTGGAAAGGACTATTGTTTATAATTTGAGGTATTAAATTATTGAAACGTTATTTATTTTAACGTTTGATGAAATATTAGCTAGTTAAACAATTGATAATTAATACAACAATAAATAATTATTAGAATATGCTAAAACATCTAATCAACTATTCAAAAATCTGTTACATTTGTTAAATGTAATGAAAACAATAAAATTAGTAAAAATTTTCTTTGTAATTAAGACCATTGCTTCTCCTAGAAACAATAGAATTCACAACATAGAAACATGCACAAACTTAACATTATTATTATGAAATTGATTTACTTATACCGAATGAATGGTGTCATCCATAAACTAAATTAATAAAAATAGTAATTTTTCATTGAAACAATGAATGTAATATATATATAACCACGCAATTTTTTATAATCATTAATTATGCGTAAAATAAAAATATATATCCAAAACTTTTAACAAGGAAATTTTTACACACATAATAATCTTATACTTTCAATCAGACTTGGTGCTTGTGGATAGCCTAAGACTGTATTTGAAGAGTGGCTATATATCTCATTTTGATAATCAATTATCTATTTTAGAAATTACAAAGAGTATTAACTCTATATATGTAGCTCTTAAAGAAACTAGTATAATAAATTTAAAAATAACATATAATCTTCTAGTTAATTGCAAGGCATAAATGAAAAATAAACGCATTAATAATATTAATCTTTTATATATATATATAATAAAAAAACTAAAGCTCCGAGTATTAGCCCTCTATCTATTATAGATCTTGAAAGATAGTAGCTCCCTCTCCATAGATGTGGAGTATCATATAGAGATACAGGGAGCTCCTCTCTCTCTCTCTCGAAGCGAATCTCCGGGACCACATAAACATGCAATCTCCATACAGCTATCTGCACAGATGACCACGCGCCACCGTCCCCCCATCGGAGCTCACTCAAATATGCACGTGCGTGGGTGACCACGCTCCTCCTTCCTCTCATTAATAAACCATCGAGTGAGAGAGAAGAAAGTGCACTACTCATGCGATCTAGTCCGCACTATCCCCGCACAACCTCCGGTGGGGGAGTGGGAAGAAATCCCTCACCGCTCTCGCGCCTCCCCCGAAGCGATCCGCGGTATCCTCTCTCATACCCGTATATCATTACTTTTATTTACGCGGAGACAGCGTATTGACCTGCCTCTACTAAGATACACAATATAATAAGTGAGGAATAATCATTAATTATGCGTAAAATAAAAATATATATCCAAAACTTTTAACAAGGAAATTTTTACACACATAATAATCTTATACTTTCAATCAGACTTGGTGCTTGTGGATAGCCTAAGACTGTATTTGAAGAGTGGCTATATATCTCATTTTGATAATCAATTATCTATTTTAGAAATTACAAAGAGTATTAACTCTATATATGTAGCTCTTAAAGAAACTAGTATAATAAATTTAAAAATAACATATAATCTTCTAGTTAATTGCAAGGCATAAATGAAAAATAAACGCATTAATAATATTAATCTTTTATATATATATATAATAAAAAAAATATATGCAAGCGGCATAATTGACTTTTTTATTTAAAAAATCTATTAAGTTCAATCCCGTTGCTAAATATTATATAATATTATTTAATAATGCTCAAATGTATTAAAAAAAAACTGACAGTTCTAGATGCCTACGTAAATATGAGTTCGCCATCGCCTGTGGCCTGCAAGTATTTTCGTATGGGATCAGAACGGCATTGGATCATCGATATGACAACACTATTAATTGAGGGTTTATTCAACCAATTCCATTTCTTTTTTTCCATGGATAGACTTGACCGATTCTTTTTTGTTTTTTTTTTTTAAGAAGAAGAAGAAGAAGAAAATGAAAAGAGACTTCTTTTTCCATGAATAAGATTTATTTCTTATTTTATTTTTGATGGAAAATGCTATCTGGACTTTTTTTTTTTCTTTTTGAAATTGAAGGCGACTTGGCTTACTTATGTTATTTAATTAAATGTATATTAAACATTGATTTTTATGCATTAGGAAGGAAAATAATTTAAAAACTGTATATATTTCTATTTCAGTCAATCTTAGATAAACTGGATCGGAACCCATAAGTTTTCATCCAAATTTCCACACATATTAATTTATATTTGTTTTATTTCAAAATTTCACACATATTATTCATATATTTGTTTTTATTGTCTCTAGCATGGACAATTAATTTTATATTTCGTAATTCTATAGCTGTCGTCATCCAGGTTCGACTAGCTCTAGCCAAAACCCCACCTGTTTTTTTTTTTTCAAATTGCATCATCATAATATCAAATATTTTTTTTTTTTTAAATTGCATCAAATATGAAATCAATTTTATGATTTAAGTTATGATAATATCAAGTCGGTTTTAAAATATTTTTTATTTTTTATATTTCAAAAAAATTACTTTCTGACATTTGAAATTTCACATTTCTTAAAAAAATTATTAAATTTATTATTAAGTAGATTGATTATATTACTCTTAATTTAATATATTCAAATAAAATTTTTTAAGAATTAAAAAAATAATATTTGATGATATGTACAGGATAAATATGAAAAAAAAATTATTTCTACTTAAAACATAATATTTTGTTAAACGTGAGAATTATTTGGGAAGTGAGGGAGTAATAAATACTATGACTCATTGAGCAAAATCTATTCAAAATATACACGTCTGAAGCCCCTTGTTTCTACATTAAATGTATTCAAAATATACACGTCTGAAGCCCCTTGTTTCTACATTAAATGTCATTGACCGATTGTTAAGTTAACGCGTTTCATAATGGATCTGATCTCGTCTGTGAAGAGACTTAACGAATTAATGGAAACCTGACCCTATTTCTCTTTTTTATCCCTTCTTCCTTTTAAGTGCCTTCTTTGCTTTTTACTTTTTTTTTTTGTTTTTTAACTGTTTAGTGTCCGAAATTTACTACTGATCTAATTAATTTTGAATCACATCAAATAAAATAGCCCATCAAAAAAATAAAAAGTGCGCACTTTCGAATGTTTAAAGTAAATTTTATTATTTATTACTAGAAACATAAATCATAGGGGAGTTACAGGGTATGACTTTAATAAGTTTTAAGAAAAATGAAAAAGGAAAGACAAATTTATTAAAGTAAACTTGGTTTTGAAAAGCTTTTAGTGGGTGGAAATGGTTAATAAGTAAAAGCAAAAGCAAAGAAAGCACTTAAACACGGAAAAGAAAAAAAATAATATTGTGTCTCGATATATATTTTATCAGAGTTAAATCAGTTCTCGCTTTTTGAAAATATATTTTTTAACCTCTGTTATTTTAAAGAAAGCTGTGTGCCTGAACACAGATTTCACGTCAAACGTGTCGTGTGAAAGGAAAAAGAGCTATGAAGAATGTAATAGGAAAATCACTTTCATCCTTTTATTTTTAATTTTCTTTTACTATACAATCACTTGGTAGGATAATAATAATATGAAAAAAATGATATACCTCATATAAATATAAAATGGATGAATTAATTAAATAATTTTTTAAAATAAGAATTTCCCTCTATTAGTTAAAATTTTTATGAATATATATATTTATTATTATTAATTTGTGTAGTATATTATATTTATTATATTATTTTTTTTTTTAAAATATATTTATTTATTGTTATTTATTTTTTTTTTCCTCTTATATTGTATATATATTATTTTTATATTTGATATTTATTTATTTTAATATAAAATGGATCAATTAATTAAATAATTTTTTAAAATAAGAATTTCCCTCTATTAGTTAAAATTTTTATGAATATATATATTTTTTTAATAAAAACTGAAAATGATTAATCTATACAAAAATAAATATTTACTGTAATTAATCTAATTGCAAATAATAATGAGTTGAAATTTATAAGATATCTGTAAAGTTAAATTATACTAAGTACTTCAAATTATTTATCTTATTATCTTTAATGCTCGTATTGATTAGCTAATAAAAACAAACACACCTCATAATTATGAGTGTAATATTGAATTACCCTTTTTTTAACTCAAATTTCTATTTATGAATTTTGTTCGGCTGCAATATAATTTTTTAGCACATTTTTAATATTTTAAATGAGACTAAAATTCTTCTAGACCTGTGCACAGTGCACAACCCTGCCAACTACATGATTGAAAAATATTATTGAGCGTTCAACCAAAGAGAATTCTTACGTTAGCTGATATTGAAATTTAATTATAATTACATTGGAATTGGAAGCTCGACCTCTTTTCAAAACGATAAGGCTTGACTCCTTTTTTTTCTTTAATGGAGATGCGACTTAGAAATTTTTTTTTTTTTTCAAAATGAAATTGACTTAGACTTTATACTTTTACTAATTAAAATGACTTTAGACTTTATACTTTTAATCATAGGTGGCTTTTGCCTAAAGTATTAATTTTATCGCTATCTAAAAATACATAACCGTATAAAAGAAAATAAAAATTTATATGATAAATTGAGGAGATGATGCACAATTATATACATAGCACTAAGGAGGAAATTAAGCTTTTTTTTTAAAAAAAAATTAAAGGATAATTAAATTATAAAATAATAAAATATTAGATAAATTTATATTGTGGTAATTATTGAAAAAAATAATTACCTTTCAGAAAAAAAAAAAAAACTTCAAACCATCTCTCAACCTAATCATTCAGTTCATAATTTATAAATGCAGATTCTTGAAATTCTAATAGGTGTCAAAAAAAAAAAAATCAATCATCACTCAATCTCCAACCCCTGCCCTCAATTTCAAATTAATATCTATATATAATTATAATGAAAAATAATAATAAATTATTCAATTTCAATTAATATCCTAATAATCAATTATAATGAAAAAATAATAATAAATGTATTTTTACTGTAAGTTCAAGAAAAAGAAAAAATAATGAGAAGATGATCTGAAGTGAATAGAAATCACTTTCACCACAGTGACAGTATTATTTATCCAGTGTATTAGATAAAGGAATATATATATATATACATGCAGATTTTTGAAACCCAAAAGTGACCAAAGCAAAAATATATAGTTTTAATTTTTTTTTTCTAGTTTCCTAAACATTATTTTCTTTTAAGTTAAACAGATTTAGGATATAAGAGAAAAATATCAAAAAAATTAAAAATACTCAACCATCAATAGATCATCTGTTTATTGCAAGGGAGATATAAATATTTTACTACATTAACATGATAGTAGTTACAAGTTATTCAGTAACAAAAAAAAATTAAAAAAATATTATTAAGAATAAAACTTTTTCAAAACTCACCTAATAAAATAAAACATTTCAATGTATATGGATATATAAATATATCAACAAAATATTTTATATGTTTTTTTAATTAAAATTTCAATTATTTACGGTCCTATGTTTAATTATGTAAATTCTATTTGAAAATTTATTTTTTAAAAAATATATCCAATCAAATATGACAAATAAAAAGAGCAAAAATATTAATAAAAATAATATCATTTTTTCTTTTTTATCCCTTTTCTAAATAAAATATTATATAAATAAAATATATATTATAATATAATTCCTATTAAAAGAATTTTATTTTTTAAAATATAATCCAGTCATATTAACAACCATAAGAAAAAAGAATATTAAATAAAAAAAGTCTATATTTTTATTTAAATTCGTTAAAAAAAATTAAAATATTAGTAAATGAAATATAAAAAATTTTCAAAAGTGTCCCTCATTATTATATGCATTCAATTAAAATAAATTCAGTTAATATAAAATTTAAAATTTTGAAGATGCCTTAATTATAATTATAATGGTGAATTTTATCTAATAAATTTATTTTTTCGATGCAATTAAGAAAGCCCTGATATGACAGAGAATAAATACTGTGATTACACAACAAATCAAATTAATAAGCTCAATGAATAAAAAATAATTTTCTTTTTTTTATCTCTCTCGCTAAATAAAAATATCATATATATTCCCTATTTGAAAATTTATTTTAAAAAACTTTTCCAATCTTATCAGTACAAACATAAAGAAAAGAAATATTTTTTTATATATATTTTTCTTAAAAAAATTAAATATTAATAAATAAATATAAAAATTTTTTTAAATAATCTTACTATCCATATATATTATTAAAAATAAATTTTATAAAATAAAACGTAAAAATTTGAAAACGCTAACGCTTAATTATTTATATGTATTTATTTATAAAATAATTTTTTTATTCATCAGGAGGCCTGATATGCCGAAATAACACTGTGGGCTACACAATAATCAAATTTGTGAAAACACTTGTGGTTGAGAGGATTCGAACTCGAAACCCCTTACTCCTCATGTAAGTAGGAAGATAATCATGCCGCATATGATTGGCTAAAAAAAATAATTTTTATAAATTATATCTAATCAACTAATAAACTATAATTTTTTAATTAGCCGTTATGAAGAGTACTTTACAATATTTTAAATTTCATTAAGTTGATAGGAAATTTCATTATTCTCACACTATTCCCATTTTTATATATAGTATAGACAGATATAGATATAGGCATATATAAAATTTAAATTAATATTTGAAATGTAACATACCCACCAAAAAGATTAAAAGATTATATAAAATACATGATAATAAATAAAAATATAATTATATATTTAATAGTAAATTAAAATTGCTACTAAAAATTTTACCAAAAAATTGTATTAGTTAAAAAAAAAAAATCAAATAACACAAACAAATTAAACGAAACGGCCCCTATCTTTTATCCCTAAACCTAACGCGCTAATCTTTATTCAAGTCTGTACACTTATTCCGGTTTTTTCAGATGACATGAATTGGTCTATTTTCAATTCTAAGTTGCCGTCTTCTTACGACTTTAACTAGCTTACTATAAATACCCCTTCTATGTAGTGTTTAGCCACCCACAAACATCATCCTCTCCTTTCGCTAAACAGCTTTTACTTATCTTCTTTGATCGTTTTCAATATTAATATACAGTTATATACCCTTAAGAAACAGCCATGGAATTCCTTTATCTGTTCTCAAGGAGTACTGTTTTCATGGCGCTTGCCATTTTTGTTCCTTTAATCTACTCTTTATTTACGAAATCAAGAAAGGCACGTGATAATAAGATTAGACTACCACTGCCGCCAGAACCCACCGGTAGATTACCAGTTATTGGCCACCTCCACCTGCTAGGTGGGTCGCAACCACCACACATAACGCTAGAAAAAATGGCTGAAAAGATTGGACCAATATATTCAATCAAGCTAGGTGTGCATCGAGCTTTGATCGTAAGTAGTTGGGAGATGGTCAAAGAATGCTTTACTACAAATGACAAAGCATTTGCTTAACAAAGCATTTGCTTACCGTCCTAAAGCTTTTCTTGATTTATATTACGATATGCCATGTTTGTGTGCAAGCCCCCTTACGGTGATTACTCGCGCGAAAATGCGCAAAATAGCCATGCTCTGAGCTTCTCTCACGTTCGTCGGCTGAGTTTGGCTCGAAACACGTGAGAGATAACTGACGTGAAGGGAAGCGCACAGAAGGGCTATATCAGGGTTGGTTAAAGAATAAAAATAGCAACAATAAACTTGAGGTGGAAATGATAAAATGGTTTTGGGACGTATCTTTGAATGGAATATTAAAGATGGTTGTAGGGAAAAGATACGTTGAGTATATAAAAAAGGACGAAGATATTAATGAGAGTGGCCACTGGCGATATGCTTTGAGGGATTTTTTCCAATTATCTGGCAAATTTGCAGTGTCTGATGCACTTCCATATCTGAGATGGCTTGATATTGGTGGAGTTGAAAAGGAGATGCAGAAGACAACTAAAGTGTTAGACAATGTAATGACAGGATGGTTAGAAGAACACAAGAAGAAGAGAGCTTCTGGTATGGCTAACTCGGAGGAAGACTTCATGGATGTAATGCTGTCCCTACTTGATGACTCTAAACAGATTTCCAATCGAGATGCTGATACCGTCAACAAAGCTACTTGCCTGGTAAATAACATTCTTGAAAATAAATTCTAAATTGATTTTTTCATAAAACCCATTGAAAAAAATATGAATAATACCAAATACCAAACTATTATTTTTGTTCTGACTATCTTGTTTTCTTGACTTGTGTCAGGCTCTAATTTTGGCAGCCTCCGATACTACTAAAACTACCTTGACTTGGACTCTGTCTTTATTACTAAATAATCCGGAGGTCCTAAAGAAAGCCAAAGATGAATTAGACATGCAAGTTGGTAAAGAAAGGCAAGTGAAGGATTCGGACATAAAGCATCTAACATATCTTCAGGCTATCATTAAAGAATCATTAAGGTTATATCCTGCAGCGCCATTATCAGTGCCACGGGTATCCTGCAGCGCCATTATCAGTGCCACGGGAATGTATTGAAGATTGTGTTGTCGGCGGCTACCGTATTCCAGCAGGCACACGACTTTTTGTTCATATTTCGAAAATTCAAAGAGATCCACGTGTATGGGAAAACCCTTCAGAGTTTCAACCAGAGAGGTTTCTTACGAACCATAAGGATATTGATGTGAAGGGTCAAAATTATGAGCTAATCCCATTTAGCACTGGAAGAAGAATTTGCCCCGGAGCTTCTTTTGCTCTTCAAGTTTTGAACCTGTCACTCGCTACTCTGCTCCATGCGTTTGATATTGAAACTCCATTAGGGAAACCAGTTGATATGACTGAGGGCCATGGTATAACCAACCTCAAAGCCACTCCTCTTGATGTTCTTCTTACGCCTCGTCTTCCTGCGCACCTTTACTAAAACAGAAGAAGCTTCTTTTCTTGTTTCTTTATATTAATAAATTGTATCTCTGTGTACATGAATATCTTGTTTAATTAACTGTAATTTGTTGTTGTTAAATTTGATTAATTTTAATAAATATGAATATCTTCCTTTCTATAATTTTTAATTAATTGTTTATTTTTAAGTATTTAAACTTCATTTTTCATTGTATTTACAAGTAATTTAGATACGTGTCGTCTGCGTTTGACTTAGAGCAGCAATGCTTTCCATGTAATTTTGTGCTTCCAATTTAGTAGGAAGTGTTATACTTATCCTGTTAAAATAATGCATAAAATGGAAAAAAATAAAAATATCCGAGGAATAATTTGCTTACATCAGCTTTTGGTTTTTATTTTTTTTGCCCCTAAATTATTTCCTCTTTGTCAACGTAGGAAGCCCCATACCTTATTTGTATGCCACGTGTCTGCAGATGGATCTGCAAGTGTCAGGCAGATGGATATAGTTGCTGATGGAAGCAGAAAATTCTGGTCCTTAAACCAGTTGACCGTTTATATGGATCTATTGAAGCCCATTGCAAACCCATTTTGAATTAAATGAAAATTACATCACGAATGAGATCATCAAAATCATTTATTTGTAGAACCGATAACGATTCGTTGTATTTAATAGGCTGTTCATAAGACAAACGTCACCGGGTTCGACCAAACCGACCAAACCAATCTCATTCAACCCAAAAAAATTCTCATTCAACCCAAAAAAATTGATTTTAATTTTTTTACATCAGTTGGTCGGCTTTTTTTTTTTTTTTTCTTTTCAAAACCATAAACTTATTGACGTCTAGATTATTGTTAGTATGCAAATTATTATAAAGATGGAAAGAAGCATTGATTGCAAACCGATTTTGAATTAAATGGAAATTACATCACCAACCAGATCATCAAAATCTTTTATTGGTAGAACCGATAACGATTCGTTGTATTTAATAGGCTGTTCATAAGACAAACGTCACCGGGTTCGACCAAACCAATCTCATTCAACCCAAAAAAATTTATTGTTATTTTTTACATCATCTGGCCGGCTTTTTTTTTTTTTTTTCAAAACAATAAATTTATCGATGACGTCTAGATTATTTTTAGTATGCATATTATTATAAAGATGGAAAGAAGCATTGAGGGAGTTCTTTAAGTTGTTGGGCAGATTTATCGCAGCTGATACGGTGCCGTTTCTGCGTTGGTTCGATGTTGGCGGACATGTAAAAGCCATGAAAAAAACCCATTAAGGTCCATTGTTTTAAGAAGGCTCAAAAACTAAACAGCTCAACTCGACTAACTGCTCCATTTGATTCAACCCGACCCAGACTAAGATGTTTACTAGTTTGAAAAGATTAAAAGAGAAGTTAGAAATTTCATTTAATGGAGGCAGTAAAATGTCAATTACAGTTATCTAAATTTCTTTCTATTGAGTCAAAATTGCAATACTTATCTGTCAATTATTAGTTTATAAATAAAGTTGATCAAAATTTTATAAAATTTCATTTGTTTCAATTTAAATTTCGTCGGTTAATCTTATGTCTTCGTTGTGATTCATGAGTTTAATCTATTTAAAAAGAGAGTAGTTCTTAAATATGGATATGGAATGTTTTTTCTTTATATATCTTTTTAATCAGAAAATCTTTAAAATGAGCAAAAATGAGCATAGAATTTAACTAAATAAACGTGGCACACGAACCATTGAACTCGATGATGATATATGTCGCTTTGCATCTGTGAGATTTCAAATCTCCAGATCATTTTGACCTGATTTTGTGAAACATTAAAAAAGCCCCATGCTTCAAGAACTAGGTTTTGGTGTATCATTTTAGTACAATTCTAAAATACAAAGACTGTATTTCACTTATTAATTAATTCCTGTCTTCAAAATAACATGTTTTTCTTTCCAAATTAAAAACTGTATCTAATTTGAAATTATAATTATATTTTTATTCTACTGAATCTATTTGATATATATATATAAATAGCTTCAATTTTTATAAACATCATAATTAAATTTTTACCCAACTGGTTTTAAGAATGTATTAGTTTAGAATATCACCTAAAAAATATTAAATCATGATGAATAATTTGACATTTTTTTGCCATTGAGTTAAAATAATTACCATTTGATTCTCTTCGCAGTTGTTGTTTGAGTAGGCATACTGTATGTAGAATGGTTGAAGGCGTCACGCATTGATCATATCCATCTCATCTGCAAAACAACAATTGTTGCTTTTAATGTCTTGGGATTTTTTTATTTATGTGAAACGTGATGCTATGGATGACTTCACTTGCTCAAACCAAAAATTCATTAAATAATACATATTTTTTATAATATATGAACGATGGTTATCAATTTTTTATGTCCGAATTGGACAAAACAAATAATAGCTGACAACAAAGTCATCTCCGGTTCAATTAATTATAATTTCCTCCCAAATTTTCCCGAACCACTTTATTTTCCACCCAATCAATTTCCTGCAATTATCTAATCAAACCACTTTATTTCTGTTAAAATGTTTAATATCAGGTTTAAAAATTTTGTTGAGATCATTTTAAAAATTTTTAGCCTGCTATTGTTAATATGATTACTAGTAATGGTATTTGTGCATAAATATTCACAAAATAATGGTAGAATAGAAAAATTAGGTTTAATAACCAGTTAACCACGAAAATCCACCACTCAACTTTAGCTGCCATGGACGTCCTTTCTCCGTTCTCAGCGACTGCTATGGTCATCCTACTTGCGTTCATAACTCCTATAATCTACTCTTTGTTTTGGAGATCAAGAAAGTCTTGTAAGAAGAGACTACCGCCAGAAGCTGCGGGTGCGTGGCCTATTATTGGCCACCTTCATCTTCTTGCAGGCTCACAGCCAGCTCACATAACCCTAGGAAACTTGGCTGATAAGTACGGCCCAATATTCACTATCAAGCTTGGTGTTTATCGAACCTTAGTTGTAAGCAGTCGAGTATCGAACCTTAGTTGTAAGCAGTCGAGCGATGGCTAAAGAGTGCCTTACTACAAACGACAGAGCGTTTGCCAGTCGTCCTAAAGGTCTAGCCATGGAAATCCTGGGCTACGACTATTCCATGCTTGGTTTCAGTCCATATGGGGAGTACTGGCGCCAAATGCGCAAAATAGTGACTCTTGAGCTTCTCTCCAATCATCGGCTTGAGATGCTAAAGCATGTGAGAGAGGCTGAGGTAAAAATGGCCATAAAAGCTTTATATCAAAAATGGATAAAGAATAAAAGTAATTCCAATAAGCTTTCTGCGGAGATGAAGAGATGGTTTTGGGACATAACTTTAAATGTGATATTAAAGATAATAGTAGGGAAACGATATGTGGAGGAGGAGCATACAAATGAATCCGTCGAAGGTCGAGAGAGCGGGACATGGAGAGATGCATTAAGGGAATTTATGGAATTGTCTGGAAAGTTTTCGGTATCAGATGCGCTTCCATATTTAAGGTGGTTAGATTTGGGTGGAGTTGAAAAGGAAATGAAGGAAAATTTAAAAAAATTAGACCCTGTTGTTGAAGAATGGCTGCAAGAACACAAGCAAAAGAAAGAAGCTTCCGGTGGCGTACCAAAGGAAGAAGAAGACTTCATGTATGTGTTACTGTCCATTCTCGGCGATGCGAAAGAGCTTTCCACTGGAGATGCTGATACTATCAACAAAGCCACGTGTATGGTACGTATTTCTATCCTTCTTTTTTTTTAAAGGACTTATTTATAATCTACTCATGTACCAAATCAATTAAAAATAAAATTTGATTGTACCAATTATATTTTTAACCCAAAAAAAAAAAAATAATAATAACAATTTTTGAAAAACTCTTCATGAATTTGCTTAGTGGATAGTAATGTGTAGGTAAGTGTTATTTATTTTCTAAATAGCTAATATAAATATAGTCATAATGATATATTCTTTTCATATGCATTAGGAAACTCATACTCGAATTAACAAATTTGTTGAAAAAAAAAATATTTATGTTATTTTTCCTGAATGAAATTTACACAGGCTCTTATTTTAGCAGCCTCAGACACCACAGCAATTACAATGACATGGGCCTTGTCTTTGTTACTGAATAATCCTGATGTCCTAAAGAAAGCACAAAATGAATTAGACATACATGTTGGCAGAAAAAGACAAGTGGAGGAGTCAGACATAAAAAGTTTGGTTTATCTCCAAGCTATTATCAAGGAAGCCTTCAGATTATATCCTGCGGTGCCTTTATTAATTCCTCATGAATCCATGGAAGAATGTATTATAGATGGGAATCATATTCCACCAAAGACACGCCTTATTATAAATGCTGCGAAAATTCAAAAGGATCCGATCGTGTGGCCAAATCCTGAAGAATTTCAACCGGAGAGGTTTCTTACTGCGCATAAGGATGTTGATTTCAAAGGCCAATTCTTTGAATTGATACCATTCGGTAGTGGGAGGAGAATTTGCCCTGGAATTTCTTTTGCTCTTCAAGTTCTGAACCTTACGCTTGCTACTCTGCTACATTCGTTTGAAATTGAAACTTCATCGAGCGATCCTTGAAACTTCATCGAGCGATCCTATTGATATGAGTGAGACCTCTGGATTGACCAACCAAAAATCTTCCCCTGTGGATGTTGTTCTTACTCCACGTCTTGCTGCTAACCTCTACTAGATGATAAATAGTTCAGAACTGTTATGCTTAATTTCAATTTGGAAAAAAATGTTGGATTTGAATCTATTCTTATTTTGTTTATTTTGATCTGTACACGTATTTATATGCTTAGGTTGGTATTCAGATAAAACTCCCTGTTGGTGGTGGTGTGCCCACTCAAGTGGGACCCACACAATTATAAAAAAAAAAAAAAAAAAAAATCAAAAAAAATCAAGGTTGCAACCAACATTGAGTTGGCATGCCAGTTGAAAATAATGAAAGAACGCCCGTGTATGACAATCACGGCTCTCTCAAATCTTGCCTATAATAGAGCATGGCCAAAGCAGGCATAGACACAACAAGTGAGAGCAATAGAAGAGTGTTTTGGAGTTTAAGAAAAGGGTATTAAAACTACGGGTTTAAGAAAATAGTGAAGATATTAGGGTATTTTTGGGGCGCAAACACGTGTAGTATCATATTTTGTATTACTCCCCTCTTTTTGTAAACCTAACTATTTTTGTTTAATAGTCGGAAGAAATATCGGAGTTGGTTCCTGGACGTAGCCCTAAATAGTTGAGGGGTGAACCACGTAAAGATCTTGTGTCCCATTTTTAATTTTTCCGCGCTGTAATTATTCTCGTAATTTTATGCCGGTATCCTAACAAGTGGATCAGAAGCCTGGTTATGTGCCGGTCAGATAGCGTACCCAGAGGATCCGGGATATATTTTGAAAAATAAATATACCAACGAAGATGAGAATAATTACGTACGAGTCCGTTGTAGCAGTCCGCCTCGAAAGGACAACGTTGCAGAATTGAATTAGTGAATCGAATAGTAAAATTAATAACTCGGTTGAGTGTGAAATAGTTACTATTGGAGTTACTGTTGCTGGAGACCCTGTCCACTGTAAGCCAGCACTCTTCACGTATAGTACTAATTCATCATACAAGGTACTAATCACGTATAGTACTATTTAACCGTATACAGTTAAACTTTTCTCGTATACTATTAAACATTTCACATATACAGTTACTAATTCACTCAAAAGTCATGGAAGCCAACAGAACGACCAAAAGATCAGCTCTAAATGGCGCAAATTAACCATATTATGGAGAAAATAGAAATGAGAGATCTTCTTAAATGTGACCAAAATGCAAATTTGCCCGTGTTTGGTTCAAGCCAACTGGAAACAAGACTGATGTAAGAATGGGCTTCCGAGCATGAACAAGAGCAAGTTTGCGGCTATATTTGACAATTTGTCAATGATAATGTGTACAACCACATTTATAACGAGACTCACGCCAGAACATTATGGGACAAGCTTGAACAGCTATATGCCTCAAAATCTGGCAACAACCAATTATTTTATTTGGCGAAGCTGATGAATTTTAAATATCAAGAAGGTACTTCTGTAGCAGATCACTTGAGTGAAATGCAGGCGACTATTCACCAGCTGTCAAATATAGGCATAAAATTTGATGATAAAATCATTGGTCTATGGTGCTTGCCTCCTTACCAGAGTCTTAGGAGACTTTGAAGATATCAATAACAAACTCTACACCACACAGTGGAGTTAGCTGGAAATTTGTTAAAAATAATGCTGTTTTGAATGAAAGAAATAACGAAAGCACAGAAACCTTCTCATCCCTCATCATGTACATTTTTTAGCAGATGCTAAAAGAAATAATCAGTCGACCAAGGGAGGAGCCATCTAGAGTTCAAATACAAGAGAATAAGAGCAGAGGTAGATCAATAAATTTGTCATATTGTGTGCCATCGATTGTGGGAAAAGGGGCACATTAAAAGGTATTGCCGGAAGTTCAAAAGTGATCAGGAGAAGATCAAAGTCAGCAAAGCAAAGAAAGAAGAGAGCAGTGAGATGAACTGCTAATGTCATTGCGGAGTTTTCCAACTGTTCAATTTGAAGACACTATCAATCTTGCAACCCAGGTAGTCCAGTGTGTAAATTGATAGTGGGGGCTACACTTATGCAACATCCCGGAGAGAGAATTTTTTCATCTTACAACATCAAGAAAATTTTGGGTGTGGTCAAGATAGCAGACGGCAAAATGTGAAAGTCGTCGGTAAGGGAACAATTTGCCTGGAGACAGAAATGGTTCGGGTTCGAGATTAATTTTAAAAGATGTCGTGTATGTACCAGACATGCATTCTAATTTAATCTCGGTTGGCAGACTTGATGCTGAAAATTTCTGTAGCACCTTCAAAAATGGTCAGTGGAAACTCACAAAAGGTTCCATGGTGGTGGCCCATGGAAAGAAAGATCCAAAACTGTACGTGATGCATGCAAAGCTCTCCCGAGATACTTTAAATGTAGCGGAGGATGATAGTACAGTGGAACTGTGGCATAAACGACTAGGCCACATGAGTGAGAAAGGAATGACAACTCTGGTTAAAAACAACATGCTATCTGGATTGGATAAAGTCCATTTAGAGGGAAATGGTCTCGATGAGAAATGTTCTGATTATATGGCAGGAAAGCAGAATAGAGTAGCTTTCAAGATTTCTCAGCCTTCCAGAATGAAGAATGTGTTAGATCTGGTGCATTCAGCTCTATGTGGACCATTGACGATGTCATATAGTGGAAATCGATACTTCGTAACATTTATCGATGACCATTCTAGGAAGACCTGTGTGTACACTTTGAAGTCTAAAGATCAAGTTTTAGATGTTTTTAAACAATTTCTAAACTTGGTTGAGCGACAAACAGGCAAAAAGCTGAAGTGCATTAGAACAGATAATGGTGGATAATACACTGGGCCATTTGATGCTTTCTGCAAAGAGCATGGTATTCGACATCAAACAACACCTCCCAAGACGCCGCAACTGAACGGTTTGGCTGAGAGGATAAAAGGATGAACAGAACTTTGATGGGAGAGTCAGATGTTTACATCTCAAACATGCAAAAGATTGTCTAAAGATTTTGGGGTGAAGCTACTTTTCTACAGCATTTTCTCTTATAAATCGCTTCACCTTGTGTTTCCTCTTACAGTATGATACTCCGAACGAGTATGGTCAGGAAAGGATGTTTCCTTTATGATCACTTGCCGGGTGTTTGGTTGCCAAGCATTTGGTTGATATTCCTAAGGATGAGAGGTCTAAGCTTTGATGTAAGACTCGACAATGTGTATCTTGGCTATGGTTCAGATCAATATTGGACTATAGTTTTTTGATCCAATCCAGAAAAAGATGATAAGAAGTAGAGATTTGTTGTATTTGTGAAAATCAGACTAATTGAAGATGTTGAAAAGACTCAGAGCAAGTTGCCGATAGATCTGAAGAATGATTCAACAGCATGTGCAAATCAGTTTCCTCCAGCAACAAGAACAAAAGACAAGTTGGAGATGAAGAAAATGTTCCACAAAAAAAGCCCAGAGGTTAGAAATCCAGAATCCTCCATCAGAATGAACCAGAAGATGATTTTGATGGTGTTCTGTTCAGCCTACCACGCACCAGGAAGGTTCTCAAACATTAAGAAGGATCTTAGCTCAGAGGTCAGCACAACCATCTACTTAGATATTTAGCAAATGGAATATGTATTGATTGACTGACGGGGGAGAAACCTGATCTTTGAAGAGCAAATTCGGGAAAGTGAAACAAAAGGAAACTGGGATTGAAGCCATGCAAAGATGAAATGAAGTCCTTGCACTGAGAATACAACATCTTGAGCTGGATAAAGTTGCCCAAAGGCAAGAAAGCTCTTGAAAGAATAAGTGGATAGTGCTTCAGGATCAAGCAGGAAGAACACAGCTTCCCAACACCGATTTTCAAGCTTAGAACTGGTTGTGAAAGGATTTCAATCAAGAAAAGGGTATAGATTTGATTGAGATTCTTTTCACCAGTTGTGAAATGACATCCATTCGAACCCAGTGCTCGGACATGGCGCCAGTTTTTGATTCGGTAGAAATCGAGGCACATGGGATGTAAGACTGAACCTCCTACTGGAGATTTGGAAGGAAGAAAATAACATGGAGCAGCCAGGAGGGTTTTCATAAAAAAGGGGAAAAGAAGATTTGTGGTTTGTAAACTGAAGAAGAGCTTGTATGGCTTGAAGCACGCACAAGACCAGTCGTTTACGAAGAAGGTTTGAGCTGTTTATGGGGGTAAGCAAGTTACAAAAAGACTTACTTCACAAGATCACTGTGTCTTCGTAACAGAAATTCTCTTGAGTGATGACCTACATTCATTCTTCTTGCTCTATGTAGATGACTGATGTTGATTGTGGGTCAAATTTCTGGTAGAAGGTAATAGCTTGAAGGAAACAGCATAAGTAAAGTCTTTTTGACTATGAAAGCTTGGGACCAGCAAAGGCAAAATATCTTGGTATGAGATTACACAGAAATCGAAGAACCAAGAAAATTATTGGTTATTATGGTTGTCACAGGAGAAGTACATTGAGAAGGTACTTCAAAGGTTCAAAATGGAGAATGCTAAAGCGGTTAGTTGTCCTCTTGCTAATCACTTGAAATTAAGCTCAAAACAATGTCCTTCTACCGATGGAGAGAAGGAAGAGATGGAAAAGATCTCATATGCTTAGCAGTTGGAAGCTTGATGTATGCCATGGTCTGTACACGGCCAGATATTGCTTACTTAGTCGGAGTAATGAGTCGGTTTCTTTCAAATCCGAGAAAGGAACATTGGGCTGCAGTGAAATGGATTTTCAGGTATCTTCGAGGTACGACTAAAGTATGTTTCGACCAAAGTATGTTTATGGTTTGGAGATGAGAAGCCAGTATTAATCGATTATACCGATGCAGATATGGCTGGGGATGTTGACTCGAGAAAGTCTACATTAGGATATCTAATCACATTTGCAGGGGGAGCCGTGTCATGGCATGTAGTCATTGGCAATCAAGATTGCAGAAGTGTGTTGCTTTATCAACAACTGAAGCAGATTCATAGCACTAACAGAAGCATGCAAAGGAGTTTGCTGTGGATGAAGAAGTTCTTGAATGAACCTTGGAATCGGAATTCATCAAGAACGATATTTGATATTCTGCGATAGCCAGAGTGCAATTCATCTTGGGAAGAATTCCTCCTTTCATTCAAGATCAAATCACATTAATGTTAGATATCATAGGATTAGGGATGTCCTAGAGATGAAGTAGTTATAGCTTGAGAAGATCCATACAGATGAAAATGGATCAGATATGTTAACGAAGATTCTTCCAAAAGATAAGCTTGAATATTATCGATTAGCAGCAGGGATGATGGAGAGTATGGCTAATGTCCCCACTTGAGTGTGCAGGGGGAGATTTGTTGTGGCCTTGCCCACTCAAGTAGGACCACACGCTTTTGAAAAAGAAAAAAAAAGGAGAAAGTAATCGATGCTGTAATTGACGCTTCAGTCGGTGGACGCGTCAATTACGTATCCTCTTCTCCTATAAATAGGAGAAGATTACCTCAACTAAAGGCACACCAACAAGAAGAAAAAAAAAAAACACAAAAGAGAAAGAAAATTCTATGTTTGAGAGGGAGAGAGCTATTCAGTTTTAGGAAGGGTCCTAAAACTAGGGTAGGGAAAAACAGTGAGGATAATTTTGGTGTTTTTGGAAAACACTTATGAGTGCCACTATTTTTGTATTACTCTCTTTGTAAGCATACTATTTTTAATCGGAGAAGAATTATTTGGAGTTGGTCCCGTGGACGTAGCCCTAAACAGTTAAGGGTGAACCACGTTAAATTTCTCTATGTCATATTTTTATTTTTCCACTGCGTAATTATTCTCGTAATTTTTTATTGTTTAATTTTTCCGCTGCCGTAATTATTCTCGTAATTTTATTGCCGGTATCCTAACACTCCCTTAACAGTGGGGACTTCAAGTTTTGAAATCCTGAATTTGTATGTCAAATTTGCATGTTGATGGAGACCTCTTCCGCTTATTCAACCTGAGAAAATATTATTATAATTACTACAATATAATGAAAACTTTTGAAAATAAATTATGTGTTCAATTTAAATTTTGCATACAGAAATGGATATCTAACTCAAGTAACTCGATCTTTCCGAAAAGAAAAACCCTAACTCAATAATCACATATTTTATCTTTATCACTTCCATTAGTTATATATTGTTTCAATTTCCTTATGGGCGATTAGTATCTTTTAATTATTTTTTTAATTCATTGGAAGATTCAATAGATTAAAATAACAGTACCGCTACATAATAGATAATCTTCCTCTTAACTTATCAAATTGATGAAAACATTTGTGATCGAAATGATTTAAACTCGAGACCTCTAACTTATATAATTATAAGTGAAAAATACTAATTATAGATTGATTTTTTTAATTGTTTTTGGGAATTAACACAACAAAGGAAATTATAATATTATTGCTTCATATACTATTCTCATGTCATTTATACACTCATTTCCTAGATTAGACAACCTTAATTGACATATGCTATAGTAGAAAAGGCGGCTAAATTAAGATAATCACGAGCAGGAAAGCATTCAGTAGACAGCTGGATAATTAAATATTATAGTATAGCTAATGAATGTAAACATTTCATTTTCAACCTAACAGTGATACAAAAAGGCGGCTAAATTAAGATAATCACGAGCAGGAAAGCATTCAGTAGACAGCTGGATAATTAAATATTATAGTATAGCTAATGAATGTAAACATTTCATTTTCAACCTAACAGTGATACAATATTTTTTGCATTAGCAATAATACAAGGCCTTTCTAATGACGTTCGAATAGTTGTTTATTGCAGTCTTATTTATTGTCTTTAAAGTAAAAACCGAGATGCTACTTAATAGGGTAGCGGATCTGCCACCACTGTCTTGTTCCTCCAAAGAAGAATCTAATAATGAAATGCTAATTATGTTGCTAATTATCATTAAAGCCTATCTCCTATTTCACCTATAAATAATTAATTGTCTATCTATCCTTAATTAGTTCCGAAAAGCATGGACTTCCTTGCAGGCTTCCCAACTATTGGCCTTGTCGCCTTTCTCCTATTTTTCTCATGTTTATTAAAAATATTGAAACAAAAAATATCCAAGAAGAAAAACCTACTCCCTCCACGACCTAACGGTGCATGGCCTGTTCTTGGCCACCTTCCTCTTCTAAGAGGACCAAAGCAACCCCATGTCATCTTGGCTAACATGGCTGATAAGTACGGTCCCATATTTAGTATCAAGACAGGAGTGCATCGATCTCTTGTTGTAAGTAGTTGGGAGTTGGCTAAGGAATGCTTCACTACAAATGACAAAGCTTTCGCCAACCGTCCGAATTTTCTTGCCGCAGAGCTCATGGGTTATAACAGTGCCATGTTTGGATTTAGCCCCTATGGCCAATACTGGCGTGTGATACGAAAGATAGCCACAGTTGAGCTACTGTCGAACCACCGGCTTCAGTCATTCAGGCACGTGAGAGAATCAGAGATAACAGCTGCTATGAATGGCATATATCAGCTATGGGAGGAGAATATTGATTATAATAAAGCTGATATGGTGGTAAAGATGAAGCAATGGTTTGGAGACATAACTTTAAATGTGATTTTCAGGATTATAGTAGGGAAGCGATATGTGAATTATTATATGACATCGCTAGAAGATGGGAATGATAGTGATGAGTGGCGAGAGGCAGTGAACAAGTTCTTCGAGTTGTCCGGTAAGTACGTGCTGTCTGATTCGCTGCCGTTTTTGAGATGGCTGGATCTTGGAGGATATCAGAAATCTATGAAGAAAACGGCTAAGGAGCTGGACGTTTTTGTGCAATCTTGGTTAGATGAGCACAAGTGCAAAAGATCATCATCCGAATGCAATGTGAGGCTGGATCTTGGAGGATATCAGAAATCTATGAAGAAAACGGCTAAGGAGCTGGACGTTTTTGTGCAATCTTGGTTAGATGAGCACAAGTGCAAAAGATCATCATCCGAATGCAATGTGAAAGGCGAGGAAGACTTCATGGATGTGATGCTCTCTATTTTCGATGAAGCAGAGGAGCTTCATGGAATTCCTTTCTATGTTGTCAAGGAGTTCTGTTTTCATCGTACTTGCACTTTTGACACCTTTAATGTACTCTTTCCTTATGAAATCAAGAAAGGCACGTGGTAAGAAGAATGGACTACCACTGCCACCAGAACCTAGCGGTAAATTACCATTTATTGGCCACCTCCACCTGCTAGGTGGGTCACAACCGCCACACATAACTCTGGGAAAAATAGCCGAAAAGCTCGGACCAATATACAGAATCAAAGTAGGTGTGCATCCAAGCTTGATCATAACTAGTTCGGAACTGGCCAAAGAATGCTTTACCATAAACGACAAAGCATTTTCTTATCGTCCTAAAGCTCTTTTCTTAGATGGCATTTGCTTATCGTCCTAAAGCTCTTTTCTTAGATGTTATGACTTACAATTATGCCATGTTTGGTGCAAGTCCTTATGGTGACTACTGGCGCGAAATTCGCAAAATAGCCAGTCTTGAGCTTCTTTCTGCTCGTCGGCTTGAGTTGCTGAAACATGTGAGAGAAAATGAAATAAAGGAAGCCATCCAAGGGCTATATCATGGATGGTTAAAGAATAAAAACAGCAGTAAGACCAAACAACTTGAGGTGGAAATGAAACAATGGTTTTGGGACGTAACTTTGAATGGGGTATTAAAGCTGGTCGTAGGGAAGCGTTACGTTGAGTATATAAAGAACGATGATGATTCTAATGAGAGTGGCGATGGCGACTGGCGATTTGCTTTGAGGGATTTTTTCCAATTATCTGGCAAATTTCCCGTGTCAGATGCACTTCCATATCTAAGGTGGCTCGATCGATGGCGACTGGCGATTTGCTTTGAGGGATTTTTTCCAATTATCTGGCAAATTTCCCGTGTCCGATGCACTTCCATATCTAAGGTGGCTCGATATAGGTGGAGTTGAGAAGGAGATGCAGAATGTCGCAAAAGTCTTAGACAAAGTAGTGTCAGGATGGTTAGAAGAACACAAGAAGAAAAGAGCTTCCGGCGCTAAGACAGAGGAAGACTTCATGGATGTAATGTTGTCTCTACTTGATGACTCTAAAGAGATTTACAATCGAGATGCTGCTACTGTCAACAAAGCTACTTGCATGGTAATTAATATTCGAAACTGGCCCATTCTTTTGTCATAACAGTAGATTATAATGAACTTAGAATTTTAAATTGGCTTTCCTAAAACCTAATGGCAATTAAAATAGCTTAACAGTAGATTATATTTGTTCTAACATACTCTTTTTCTTGTTTTCTTGCAGGCTATTATTTTAGCAGCTTCAGATACTACTAAAACTTCTTTGACATGGACTTTGTCTTTATTACTAAATCATTCGGATGTCCTAAAGAAAGTGAAAGATGAATTAGACGTGAAAATTGGTAAAGAAAGGCAAGTTCAGAATTCGGACATAAACAATTTAACTTATTTTAATGCAGTGGTTAAGGAAGCATTCAGGTTATATCCTGCAGCGGCATTATCAGTGCCACGTGAAAGTAACGAAGATTGTGTTGTTGGAGGCTATCATATTCCGGCAGGCACTCGCCTTTTCGTTCATATTTCGAAAATTCAGAGAGATCCACGCGTCTGGGAAAATCCTTTAGAGTTTCAACCAGAAAGGTTCCTTACTACCCATAAGGATGTTGATGTTAAGGGTCAACATTTTGAGCTTATACCATTCGGTGCTGGAAGAAGAATTTGTCCTGGAACCACTTTAGCTCTTCAAACTTTGAACCTAACGCTTGCTTCTCTTCTGCATGCCTTTGAAATTGAAACTCCATTAGGGCAACCAGTTGATATGACTGAAAGCTCTGGTATAACTAACCTCAAAGCCACTCCTCTCGATGTTCTTCTTACTCCTCTTCTTCCTGCCCACCTTTACTAGAAAATCATGATATAATAAAATAAGAGAAACTAAATAGTAGAGGTATTTTTCCATTTTTTGTGTGTTATAAAGAGAGCTGTTTAGAAATCTCTATCTGTAAATTAATTTTTTTCGTTAATTTCTTGTTTAAGTAATTGGTTCTTTTTGTTGTTGCTATAGGGGTATATTGTAGTTTAAATATACACCAAGGATCCATTTGTTTCTCTAAAATAACTTGCAGGAAAATATTTTTCACAATTTTTCGTTGTTTGGGGTGCTCAGAAAAATAAGTCAATAGAAAATATTTTTCTGGTCAAACTAAAATTAAGCAAATTTTTTAAGGAAAACAACTTCTCATTTTCGAGAGGGTAAAATATTTTTTAGACATTAGCACACCTTATAAATTCATATTTTTTAATTTATTAATCATCATAATTACTACCACCATTCACCATTTACCACTGACCACTACCACCTGCTACCACGATCGGCCACCGACGACTTTCATAATTTATATATATTTTTTGCATTCTTTTCATATTTATTTTTTACTTTAATTACCATCATTCATAATTTCACTACCCACCATCTCACCATTTACACTGACCCACTGTACCACCCTCTTACCACGGAGTCGGCACCGGCACACAGACATTTCATCAATATTATATATATTTTTTTTGACATTACTTTTCAATATTAACAATAACAATTTTTAAAATTATAAAGTTTCATATTTAACAATAAAATTTTTAAATTATAAAGTTTCTATTATTATTAATATTTTTTATGGTCTTATGAGATGAAAACTTTAATATTTTTAACTAATTTTCAATATTAACCAAGCAATGGAAAATAAGTTATTTCAAAAATATTTTCCATAAAAATATTTTTCAGTAAATTATTTTTTTGCAAGTTAGTTACGGAAACAAATGGAGCCTAAGTATCTATAATTTTGTTGGTTGTCTTTCTTATTAGGAAATTTAATTATTCATTATTATTAGTTTATTATTGTTATTATTATTAAGAAACTTAATTCGATGTTGTTATTGAAATATATTTATGGTTTGTGAAAATTATTATATTATTATATTTTTGAAATACCCGAATTTTTATTTTCAAAACTTTCAAATAAATTCGATTTTCAACTATACGGATTATAAAATACCAAACAATCTCATTCGAGCCCAAATTTACGAGTTGGGCTTAAGCCCAAATATATCATCAGAATTTCTCGATTGGAAGTAAAACTTCGAGAAATAACAATGAAATTCCAGCAATTTAATCATTATATATATATATATTATAATATATATATAATATTATTATATATTAATTATCCTAAAATAAAATGTCTTTACTATTAATATTTTTATTATTATTATTGAGTAAATAGAGAAAAAGTTACGGAATCTAACTAAAATAATCAAAATTAATCGAACCGGACCCAAAAATTAAATTGATTTTTCGAAAACCATACGAATAATCTGAAAACAAGTGAAAAACCTGCAAATCGAGCTGATTCATTGAATTAGATCAAACCGGTTCGAATCGAACCGAAATGGTTTAGAAGCCCCATGATTTTTTCTTTCTTTCTTTTTTTTTTTTCTTCTTTTTCTTTTCTTTTCTTTTCTTTTTCTTCTTCCTTGCGCCAGCGCCAGCGCGCGCCCCCTCTCTTCTTCCCCCCTCTTTCCAGTTTTCCGGCCGAATGGCCATAGATTCCGGCGAGCTAGCAGCCTAAACGTATCTACTCGATGAAAGGACCTCCGTCCTAGCCTTGGCTCGGGCGATTTAAACTGTAGTCAAGCAAATCAGGTCTGGAAACTTCGTTAACGACGCAACGTCGCTTTACGACGAAATCGCACCTTCTCCGGTGAGGTTAGGCTTCGAGATGGGTGCCAGTTGATCTCTCTTCCCTACGCGGTCTTTTTCCCCTCTGTCAATCGAGGTTTCCGGTGGCGACGACGAACCACCACGATCGGCGGCTATATCAGTGGCTGTCTTTGCTCATTCTAGCTGAACGGGCCACTGAATCGATAAACGGACTCTGGACGGCAAAAAATCGAGCCAAATGGTGTGGAGAGCTCTCAATTCCTAATAACCACGGCTTTCCGGCCACCGCGGACGGCAGCGGCGGCGGTACGGCGGGTACCAAGGGACGGAATTGTCGCCCAAATTTCAATCAGGGCGCTCTAAAAATAAATTCTCAATTTTTGTATATAAAGAATTAATTAATTAATTTAATTGAGTAATTAAGTAATTAAATTGAATTTGAACGAATAATCAATCAATATAATTTTGCTAAGAATCAGTGGTATAATGTAAATGCATATCAGTTCTGAATATTATTAAATATATTTCATGAACATAAGTTAAAACTAGAGGTTTGGTACTGAGATAAGAATTCCTAACTAATATTTATGAAAGCTAATTTAGGAATTTTAATAAATATTGTTAGGATGTTAGTATAATTTGTTAATTAATTAATTTGGACTTATTAAGTGTATATATATAAGTGTGATGGATGATATCTGTAGTCTGAAGCGGATGGATTGGTTGAATTGATTGTCCGATGGATGAGATGTGTGAATTGATTGATCGAATAATTGATAGAATAATTGATAAATAAAGTTATGGTAGACGGGATGTGTTGATTTGAATTGTCCGACGGGTGGGCTTTGATATTATGTTGTTGAATTGTGGTTTAGTCAAATTTTAGGTGAGATTTCGATAGAAGCTAGACTAGTTTTAATTAATAACATAATAAATAAGCTTATTTAGATAAATTCTATAATTTGATACATAATAATAAAGTGCTCTAATTATTTATTTATTATCTTTATTTAATTACATTTAATTATTCAATTAATTATTTATTTTCATTATTATTGTTTAGTATTATTATTTATTCTATCATTGTTATTTATTGTTAATATTATTTGTTTATTTATTTATTTATTTATTTGCATTTGAATATGGATGTCTAAGTGTGCTATGGCATCATGATATTTAATTGATTTCTATGCTTACATTTAATTGCAATGCTTGATTAGTTGTGATGTAAAAATGTTTTCCTATATTTGTATGGAGTTGGGATGAAGTGGGTCACCATGGATTTTTGAGGGCAGTCCACGAGACCGTTGGCTATATGGGAGATCGGCATCCCTGTGCATCTGATGATATGATATGGATGATATGGATAAACCACAGGGTGGCCTCCTGTTGGCATGGAAAAGAAAAGAGAGAATGAAAAAACAATGAGAGGGCTGGTCAAGTGAGGATTAGACCGGTCGGCCATGTATGGGGATCAGCTCCCAGCTCCTGGGTGCAACACGTCATGAGAGGTGGGCCATGTGGAAGGAGCGGGCTCATCGGGGGTTTCGATGGACGTCACAGACCATGTTTAACCAAATTTCGCACGTAATGTTGATTATGGTGAAAGTGTTAATATTGTTGAGTGCTGGTGATATGCCATTTGTGTGACTGGCTGCGTGAGCAGAACTAGTCGGGCGATGACTATGAATTGATATTTTATGCTTTGTGTGAGATGCATGGTGTTGTGCAAGTAATTATTACTCCTTAGAGAAGACTCACATGTTTTGTTAGATTTTTTCAGGAGTAGTTTGTTTTTATTCCCGGTTAAGCGTTATGGTTTCTGTGCTGCATGCTAGACGAGAATTTCTTTATGTTCAATAATTATTGTTGGTTTTATGCAACAATAGAGCTGATAGAAAATCTATGTATGTCTGTCAGGTTAGTATAACTCTGCAGTTGTATGAAAATTTTTAGCATACAGTTTAGTCGTGTATTAATCAGTAGACGAAATAAAATTCCATTAAGCCCATATAAAAATGTGATTATATTGTTATTAGGCCCGAGACTGTGGATGGTTGTGTAAATGATAAATTTTGGGGCCCGAGAATTTAATAAGAATCTTGAAGATTTTATTTCCTAGTAATATGGGTTGATGTTTTGAAATTATATTGAGATAGTAGATTTTTGAGTGTTTTCAGGCTTACTACGGGCTTTCGACCTTAGAGCTTACGCTGAATTCTAGTGCCGTGGTTCGCGGCCCATAGAAATGGGTTCGTGATAATTTTTTTTATATTTTATTTTTTTGGGGTAATTCTCTTGAATAGTTATACTTAATGTAAAAATTCTTTTTATTATTACTATTTAGTACTAATTTGAAAAAGTCTCTTATTTAAAATGTGATAAAATTCTTTTTATTATTTACTATTTATACTTAATTTAAAATTCTTAATTTAAAATTGAATTCATAGTTATACTTAATTTAAAATTCTTTTTATTATTTACTATTTATTTAACTTGTAGATTTATATTGAATTCATAATTAGCCTAACTCTTTCATAATCCACTGGTTCATGTATTTAATAGATTAAATTGGATTGAAAAAAATTATCGACTTGTATGTATGACTTAAGAACTTTAAATCAATAAATCTGATCCAATCCAATTCATGAGCAGCCCTACACCAATTTAAGAGCACGTGATTGGCACTAGGATGCATGAAAGTGGAATGCTACTAAAAGCCAATAAGACAATAGTTCTGTTTGCCACTAGAAGCAATATATTGATTAAGTCAAAAAATTATTTCTATTGTTTACAGCGTTTAGTGGTTTAATATTTAGATTTTTTTTTTTTTTGGAAAGGGCTAGTGTTTATAATTTGAGGTATTAAATTATTAAAACATTATTTATTTTAACGTTTGACGAAATACTAGTTAAATAACTGATAATTAATACAACAATAAGTAACTATTAAAATATGCTAAAACATCTAATCAACTATTCAAAAATCTGTTACATTTGTTAAATGTAATGAAAAACAATAAAATTAGTCAAAATTTTCTTTGTAACTAAGACCATTGCTTCTCCTAGAAACAATAGAATTCACAACATAGAAACATGAACAAACTCAACGTTATTAATTTATATCTCCGACAAAAATTAATTTTAACATTTCAATCCTATGTAGTATAAATTGTATAACCTCAATATGAATAATACAACTTCTATGTCTACATCATATTTATTTATTTATGAGAGAATTATCATTCAATCTATATAATTTATAAAACTAATTATTTTATTTCTATGTTTTCAAC